CCGCAGGGCTTGGCATGGCTGAACAGGGCTACGCATGCCGGAGAAAGGCTTGCCAGGACCCAGCAAGGCTCACCAAGGCTTTGCAAGGCCTAGCAGGGCCTGTGAAGCGTAGTAAACCTCAGCAAGGTTGAGCAGGGCGTACTAGGGCATAGCAGGGCTTGGCAGAACTGAACAGGGCCTAGCACTGCTTAGCTGAGCCCGACGGGGCTGTCCGATTTTTCTGGGCCAGGCCCCTTTTTGTTCTTCTCTCTCTCTCTCTCTCTCTCTCTCTCGGCAAAAGCAGATGCCTAGCTAGTAAGCCTCCAAAAGCCCGGGCTACACTCCCCCCCCAGACCCCCGAATGCTACGCAGGAGTGTAGCTTACTGCACAGGATTTGGCCCAAAAACCCTCGGCCGGATTCTGCCCAACATCCCTCGGCCGGATTTGGCTCAAAATCCCTCGCATTCGAAGGCCCCCCCCTCAACACCTTCCGCAAAGCAGCCCCCTCAACGACCCCCGAAGTCACAAAGGGATTCACCACCGCCACTCAAGGGAGTCTCTCTCTCTCTCTCTCTCTCTCTCGGCAAAAGCAGATGCCTAGCTAGTAAGCCTCCAAAAGCCCGGGCTACACTCCCCCCCCAGACCCCCGAATGCTACGCAGGAGTGTAGCTTACTGCACAGGATTTGGCCCAAAAACCCTCGGCCGGATTCTGCCCAACATCCCTCGGCCGGATTTGGCTCAAAATCCCTCGCATTCGAAGGCCCCCCCCTCAACACCTTCCGCAAAGCAGCCCCCTCAACGACCCCCGAAGTCACAAAGGGATTCACCACCGCCACTCAAGGGAGAGCTCTGCCGCCTCCCGGGCCGGGGGACTGCCGTCGACGGGGGGCGTGGGGGCAGCGCGAGGGGGAACGAGGACGAAGGTGGAGGTAACCCAGGATGGCTTGGACTAGCTCGCGAGTCCTAAAACTTTGCTTGCACGGTGTCTCTGAGATGGCTGTTCAGGGCGGGACGGCGGGCCGAAACAGCTGCCATGCGATCGAATTTCGGCCGAGTTTCGAGATCGGTCGACCCGCACCTCCCTCGATCAAACGTCTACCGTAAACGCTTATATACCGATACCACAGTCCTTCTCTCGTCGCCCACGGCGCTGGATTCGCCCCGAAATCCTGGCCAGAACGTACAGTCGGGCTGTTGAAATAGTGAACGCTCTCGCTCCTCCTCCTCCTCCTCCTCTTCCTCCTGTTCCTCCTCCTCCTCCTACTCCTCCTCCTCCTCCTCCTCCTCCTCCTCGTCGAGTTCCCGCTCCTCGATCCTCTGAGGGCCGCAGGAGTAAAGCCCCTTCTTTGCCCCGGAAGTGCCTGAGTGCACGAGGAGGGCAAGAGGAACACCCACGGCATGACCGAAGGTACAGCGGGCCCCTCTCCGAACCCAAAGCAGGTCCTTGTTTCTGCTTCTTGGCTGTGCCACTGCACAGCTCCGGGGAGCCGCGGTAGACCCAGACTCTGGATGGGTTGATTTCCCGGTTTGAAATTTTGTCGGAGATGCACCCAAACGATGCGGAAGAGTAAGTTGGACACTTCTGCCTCAGAAAAACAGGGCAGCTGTGTCCGCGAAGGGATGGCGGAAACTGCAATGGCAAAATACGGCGGAAATCGGCATCAAAGGACCCACTTGCGAAATCGCGCAAAGTGGGGCAGATCCCGAGTCAGGGCACTCCCAGAGAGGTCCGAAGAGCAACGCGGTGTCGATAGCTTTTTGTTCACCGTGGTCGGCCAGGGCGGCGGTGAAGGCGGCGGCCAGGGGCCCAGGCGGGCGTCGAGAGAAGCGGGTCTTGCGCACGTCGACGTAGCGACTCCCCTCGCTCCTCCTCCTCCTCCTCCTCCTCCATCACCCGGGTGACTCCAACCTAAGACCCATGGAGGCCCAACTGGAAAGAAAAAACAAATGGGGCGCGCCGAAAAACCCAGGGGGTCCGGTTTCCGCGGAGGAAAGAAAAAAACCCTGGCGATGGGGTTCGAGCACGGGGGTTACCCCCCCCTCAAATTCCGGAAGAGGAATGAACTCCCAGCCGCGGGGGTGCCCGCGCGAGGGGTCCCACCCCCCCCAAGCGCAACCAGAGGAAGAAAAGCGTGAGAGCCGAGACTGTAAGTGCAATGCAACAACACCTTAATCGCGGTTGCACTAGGGATTTGTATTAGTACGGGAACAACTGAATTACAGCCGGTGAGGTTTGGGTTCGGGTTCGGGCTTATATATTGGAAACCCAGTATATTGGAAACGCAATATATTGGAAACTCAATTTTCTAGGCGTTGTATATTGGAAACGCAGTATATATGGCGTTGTTCTAGGGGGCACAATTTTACCAGCTGTAATATGATACCAGCTGCACTCGAATATTTGCACGGCAGGACAACGTGCTCTCTAGGAACAACTGCGCGATAGGACATGATAGTACCAGTTGTACTCAAGTACGAGTTGTACGGTAGTCGGAGGGGTTCAGGGATTCCAACGGCAACGCGCGCGGGGAAGAAGGAAAAAAATCCATGCGCCGCCAGGGGTCCCGGGTTTAACGGGTCGCCGCGAAGGTTGACCCCCCGCGGAAAGAAGAAAAGAAATCCGGCCGGGGGGTTGGGGGGTTGAGGGATGAGTCACGGGGGCGATCCTCCTCCTCCTCCTCCTCCTCCTCCTCCTCCTCCTCCTCCTCTTCCTCCTTCTCCTCCTCATCCTTCTCCTCCTCCTCCTCCTCCTCTTCCTCCTCCGCCTCCTCCTCCTCGTCCTCCTCCCCCTCGTCCTCCCTCCTCCTCCTCCTCCTCCTCCTCCTCCTCCCCTCATCCTCTGCTCCTCCTCCTCCTCCTCCTCCTCCTCCTCCTCGAGAATCCCGCTCCTCGATCCTTTGAGGTCCGCTCCCTCATCCCCGCCCCCCCCCCCCCCACCCCCACGCGATCCAGGGAAGCGGCCGCGCCCTGGCAACGCCTGTGCAGGCGGACGAGGCGGCGGGCGTAGCGGTCGTGCTCGCGCCTCGGTGCGCGGAGGAGGAGGAGGAGGAGGAGGAGGAGGAGGAGGAGGAGGAGAAGCAGGAGGAGGAGGAGGAAGAAGAAGAATGATGAGGAGGGGGAAGTGATGGAGGAGGAATGAGGAAGAGGGTGGGGAACGGAGGAGGAAGAGGCGGAGGAGGAGGAGGAGGAAGAGGAGAAGGAGGAGGAGGAGGACGCAGGGCAACTCCTTCTCAAGACGAGGCTCTTGCCTTGGTGGCAGGGCCACAGGGCGCTCGTCTTTCAAGGGGGCGCTTCTTTCGGTGAAGCGGCAAGCTTGTAGGTATTTCTGAAGGGACTTGGGACGAGAGGATGTGTGTCAGCATCGTTGGTGGCTCCTCTGCTTACTCCTCCTCCTCCTCCTCCTCCTCCTCCTCCTCCCTCTTCTCCTCCTCCTCCTCCTCCTCCTCCTCCTCCTCCTCCCCTCTCCTCCCTCCTTCTCCTCCTCCTCCTCCTCCTCCTCCTCCTCCTCCTCCTCCTCCTTCCTTCTCTCCCTCCTCACCCTTCGTCTATCCCGTGCCCATCCTTCTAGTAACTTGTATGGAATGTGAAAAGCTCGAATGATATCGCTTGGCCATGCGTCCAACGAGAGCCCCTCTTGAGAAGGGACCACCACCCCCATCCGTGCACGGGTGCACACTCCTACAAGTTTGTGAGGCGAGTGTGCTCGGCGCCAAGGCGAGAAGGCGAGAGCCCGGTTTCGGAAAGGAGTCGACCTCGCATCCCTGGATCTGCTGTGAGGTGTCTGAACGAATATGTGCGGGGAAGGCGAGAGCACAATTTGTATGACGACCACCCCTCAATCCTGTCGGATTTTGCAGGATGGAGACACAAATGCTGGACGAATGTGCGCGGCGCTGAGGATTGATCCCCATTTTGGACACGACCATCCCTCAACTTTTCTAGTTGTTGGAAGATTTGAAAGCGAAGCGCGGGAGAAATTTTGCGCGGCGTGGAGGCAAGAGCCTCACTTTGAAAACGACCCCCTTTCCAGCCGTGAAACTTTTGAGGAAGTTTTCACACACATTCGAGGTCGTAAGCGGGGAGGAAATATCAGGCGAACACACACCGCCCGCCCTACAGACACGTCTACTGGTCAGATGCCAGGTGAAAGCCACGCTAAAGAAAAAACGGCGCCATCCATTCATTTAGTTGTTGGAATCGGTTTAAGAATAATGCGCACGTCACTAAGGCGGGAAACACACTTTGAAAAACGCACCCTCTTCATTAGTGTAGCTGTTGGAGGCTTTCAAGCCGACTGCGCGCGGCGTTACGTATGACGGAACCAGACCGAAACGAAGACCGAGAACCATAACTGGACCGAACAAGGCCCAAAGCAGCAAAACTCAAAACCGAATTGAACCGAACCGAACTTGCTCGGGACCAAACCCGGGGAAACCGAACCGAGCCAGCACCGGAATCGAACCGGACGGCCTCCCCACCGAATCGAGAGAGATCTAACCAGACGCCCCGCAGCCCAAGCCCCAGGGCACCGCAGGACGACGACAAAAGGACTGCGGGGGACCACGGGAAGCCCTGAGACGACGGGAAGGGGCCACAAGAGGGATCTTATGAACCAGGACCACGGGAGGAGCCACGTGCAGGACCATGGGGAGGGCCCACGGGGAATCGCCATGGGATAGGGTGAGATGGACCACGGTGGGCCCTGGACCACGGGAAAGGGCTACGCGGGGAGGGGGCTGTGCGGAGGGAGCACGGGAGGACCGAGGGAGGGGACCACATCAGACTGCGGGCCGCATTTGGGGGGATCGCGGCAGTCGGCCACGGCTGCCGCTGCTCTTGCTGCCCATGCTGCACGTGATGCTGCTCGCCGTCGTCGTCGTCGTCGTCGTCGTCGTCGTCGTCGTCGTCGTCGTCGTCGTCGTCGTCGTCGTCGTCGTCGTCGTCGTCGTCGTCACCGCCGTCGTCGTCGTCGTCGTCGTCGTCGTCGTCGTCGTCGCGTCGTCGTCCTCGTATTGCTCCTACACCTCGTCCTTCTCCTCGTCCTCGTCCTCGTCCTCGTCCTCGTCCTCGTCGTCGTCGTCGTCCTCCTCCTCCTCCTCCTCCTCCTCCTCCTCCCCCTCCTCCTCCTTCACCTCCACTTTCCTATCGCCTCCTCATCCCTCCCCCCGCTCCCAGAAGCCCTCCAGTGAACCCGAAAACTAGCTGGAACTTGGGAAAACCACCCCAAACCCTGGAGCTCCCAAGAAATCCCCACAACCGCCACCAATCCCGAAACCCACCAAGTGGGCCGTGTCGACCAATCATCTGGCTAAGCGATTCTGGGCAATTTGGGGACTTTCTGGGGTGGTCCGCCTCCTCCTCCTCCTCCTCCTCCTCCTCCTCCTCCTGCTCCTCCTCCTCCTACTCCTACTCCTACTCCTACTCCTACTCCTACTCCTACTCCTACTCCTACTCCTACTCCTACTCCTACTCCTACTCCTACTCCTACTCCTACTCCTACTCTTCCCTCCCTCCCTCCCCCCTCCTCCGTCCTCTTCCGTCCTCCTCCTCCTCCTCCCTCCTCCTCCTCCTCCTCCTCCTCCTCCTCCTCCTCCTCCTCCTCCTCCTCCTCCTGCTCGGCAGACCCTTATGCACTGCTCCTCCTGCTCCATCTCCTCCTCACCCCTTTCTCCTTCCTCCTCCCCCTCCCCCTCCCGCCTCATGTCCTTCCCGTGGCCCCGCGGCCCCAACGTGGCCCCCCCCCTCCGCGGTCCCACCGCGGGGTGCCCCGGGACCGCGGGAGAGGACCAAAGGACCACCGGGGGGCCGCGGGAGGACCGCGGGGAAACCCTGCTGCGATCGGGGAAGGCCACGACGTAAGCATAAGCGACCGCGGCAGGTCTGTAGGGACCACGGAGGGACGACGGACGGGAAGCCGCGGGAGCGCTAGCCATGGGGAGGGGCCAAGGGGGCCACGGGGAGAGACCGCGGGAGTGGCCGCGGGGATGGACTCCGCGGAGGCAGGGATCGCTGGATGGGCCATGGGGACGGCTGGGGAAGTACTGCTTGCAGTAACAGTGCCCAGCTAATCGTGCTAGTGCCGCGTGCTCCTGCCAGCACCGCCGCCCGCGTGGAGCCGTATCGTGCCGCGGCCTTGGTGCGACGAGGCCCGCAAAAGCTTCGCAAAAACAACGCGCTGACCAAACCGGTCAATCCGATCCGTGCGCAAACCGGAATCGAACCTCACCAGAGCCATGTCCAAACTGAACCGGTCAGGACCAAACCATCTTCCAACCAAGCCGGCCAAGCAAGACTTAGGTTCGGCAATAGCGACTACAGGCGGTCCACCGCCAGATCGAGCGAAGAACCTCAAACTCAAAAAAAGCTTCAACAAATCTCTCTAAGCCCAAACCTGCGGAAATCTCAAACTCCAAAACAACTTCAAAACATCTCCAAACAAAAACCCGCGAACATCTCAAACTCGAGCAAAACTTCAAAACAACTCTAAGCCAAAACCTGGGAACATATCAGACTCAAAAAAACTTCAAACAATCTCTAAACCGAAACCTGTGAACATATCAAACTCTAAAAAACTTCAAACAATCCACGCCGAAACCTGGGGAAATCTCACACCTAAAAAACCTGTAAACGGGAACTCTAAAACAACAGAAACAAACTATTACAAACACGTTCAATGCCAACCAACTTTAAAACAACTCTTAGAACAACTTTGAACATACTGCCTAACAAGTACAAGCAACACAACTCCAGAACAACTCTTAAGACAACTCTAAAACACTCTGGGGCAACTCTAAATAATCTCGAAACAGATGTCAGACCGCCTGGCGAACTTAAAAACACTCTGGAACGATTCTAACAACTATAAATGTACACTCTGACTTAAATTTTGAGATGTTCGCAGGTTTGGGTCTTGAGTTGTTTGGAAGTTGTTTTTAGAGTTTGAGAATTTCGCAGGTTTTGGCTTGGAGATGTTTGGGATGTTTGTTTTAGAGTGTGTCGCAGGTTTGGCTTATAATGTTTTGTTGGTTTTTTAGAGTTTGAGATTTCAACAGGTTTTGGTTTAAATATGTTTTGCAGTTGTTGGGGAGGTTGAGTTTCCTGCTGAAGATGTTCCGAAGATTTCGGTTGGTTTTCTCGATGGACCTCCTGTAATATAATTGCCGAACCTAAAGCAAGACCGAACACTGGCTGCAGAACCGAGCCGAGCCGAGCCGATCCCTTCACATAGCTGAAGCGGGAGCCACATCTTGAAGCCGCCCCCCCCCCTCCATCCGTGCAGCTGTTGGACATGTCGCACCTCGGGGCTCTGGGGAGAAAGTCTCTCGGGCGAAACGCCTGGACGCCCAGCCTGCCCTACCGACCCGTCTAGTGATGAGCTCAAGGAGCTACAGACAGCCCCCCGCGAGCAGTCCAGGCTGGCCTCGACAGGTCCCGCGGTCTCAACGCCTCAACCGCCGCGGCGCCAGGGTGCCGAGACCGCCGCGGGCTACTCGGGGGGCCTGCTGAGACCAGCCGAGGCTAGCCTCAGGTCGGGCATGTCCACCTACAAGCGGATTCTAGAAGAAAAACGGTTCAAAAAACCAAAACATAGGCAAACAAATAATCACAACTAGTTCTTGCTATTCTTGCCTACTCCTCGTGTAGAGCGATCTGCCCGACTTTTAAGGCTATACCCTGGGGGGGGGCGTCTGCCTCTGCGCAGTCCTCTGCGCCGGCCGCCCTGGACCCCCTCCAGGCCTCCCCGCACGTGCTGGGCCCCGGGCCCCCGCTGCTGCAGCGCAGCCCGCACCCTCTCGGCGGCACCCCGCGAAGATCTGCACGTATCTGAGCGGCTCGGTCCTCGGACCTCCTCGCGCTGTGAAAAAATCACAACGGGAGGCTTTTCGCTATTTTCGGCCCCTGGGGGGCCCTCGCCGGGCCTCGGGACTGTCAAAAAACGACTCGGGATGAGAAGCCGGTCCCGGGGAAGGGGTCCAGACCTCTGTGGGTCGACGTTGCGAAAAAATCGCGGCGTCGGTGTCAGGGTCCTCGCCTTCGCGGCGCTTTCTTCCTCTTCCCTTGTGCCCCAAAAGTTGCTTCCGCGCGCCCCGCCTTCAGCTTTAGCCCGACCAGCGCCGGACCGCTTCTGCACCTCCTGCGCCCGCGGACTTGGAGAAGCGCGCAGCCCGAAGCCGCTCCACCGAGGACGCGGGGGGACGTGGAGGAGGGAACGGCAGGCGCGCGCGACCGCTCGGAGGCCGCTGGGCGCGCGCACTCCAGCCAGGCGCGGTGCGCGCAGTCCAGCTCGACTGGCGCGACGCCCCGTTCCTGGCACCAGTCCTGCAGGGGGGGACAGGGCGAGGGAGGACTGGTAAGGCTTCTTGCTGCGCCCACACCTCCCCCCCGGGTAGTCCCGGCTGACCTCGACAGGCCCCCTTAGACGGTTTCCCCCGGGGCAGTAGGCGACCCGAAGAGGGGAGGGCGAGGAGGGGGAGGAGGAGGAGGAGGAGGAGGAGGAGGAGGAGGAGGAGGAGGAGGAGGAGGAGGAGGAGGAGGGTGCGCTTGGCGGAACCAACCCGCGGCGGGTGCGTTTGGCCGACGCCCTCCCCGACGCCCACGACCCCCCCCCCCAGACGAACATCCGGACCCCCCTCCGCGGTGGGTGCGTTTCGCCGACGCCCTGCTCGACGCCCACAATTCCCCCCGCGGTGGGTGCGCGGTGATGGCGCCCCGCCCGACGCCAACGGCTCCCCTCCAGACGGCCCCCACGACGCCCAGAGCCTTACGACGACCCCGCCCAACGGCACTACACGTCACCTGCCCACTGAGGGCAGCGGTGCCCACCGAGAGTAGGGAGAGCGACTGTTCTCAGTCCTCCAAGGCCCCCACCGATCCCATGGGAACTCGGTCAACTCCGACCCCCTTCGACAGGACCTCCAAGTCGTCACGCCCCCTTTTCTTCCCTCTTCTGCATGGGCAGCCAGCCCGTGGCACGGGCCGGGTCCACTTGAGGATCGCCATCCACGACGCACAGATGCGACGACACCCCCCCGACCCCTTCCTCAACGGACCCGACGACCCCCCCACGAACGTCAACAGCAACTCCACTCGCAACTGCAGCCAACAGCGGCACACCGCGCCACCACCAGCAACTAGCCACACCGACGGCACTCCCAAGGACGACGGCATCCACCTCGGCCACAACCGGAACAGGACCAACAGCGAGGATTTCGGGCAGGTGAGAGGCCCGGGAGCGGCTCCTGGAGGGGGAGGCTGGCGGGGGCGGGAGAGGCAGGGGGGAGGAGGAGAGCACCAGCGGCCCTGCGCGCACGCAAGGGAAGCCCCCGTGCCCAGAAAGGCCCACACTGCGTCCCATCTCGTCCCACTCCCCCCTGACGTCATCCCTTCCTCTCCTCCCCCTCCCCCCGCCTTCCTCTGGAGGTGCTTTGATGTGTTTTGTTGGCCTCTCCGAGCTTGGGGGAGGTCTCTTCCATCCTTCCCTACGCCTTCCTCCGTCGTGTTTGCTGTTCCTTCCGCCTCCTCCCCCTCCTCCTCCTCCTCCTCCTCCTCCTCCTCCTCCTCCTCCTCCTCCTCCTCCTCCTCCTCCTCCTCCTCTTCCACTCCTCCTCCGCCTCCTCCTCCTCCTCCGCCTCCGCCTCCTCTTCGCCTCCCCCCTCCTGGCCCCCCTGTTGCTCCTCCTCGTGTCACCCTTCCGTCGGACTTCCTCCGCGGCCCCCCCCGCCGCCGCCGACGTGCCTCCCTCTCCCCCGTCGCCCTCCCGCGCTCGGGAAATCGATTCGCTCTCGCTTTCGGCCCCCGTATCGTTCCCCCCGTCGTCGCGCCTGTCGGCACCACCGCCGGCCGCAAGCAAGCCCTTTTCAGAACGACTCCCTCCCTGCTAGACGGCAGGGCGGGGACGCAAGCTTCGGGCTATGACAGACCGAACCAGCCTTGAGCAGCAGCAGCAGCAGGAGCAAGAGGAGGAGGAGGAGGAGGAGAAGGAGGAGGAGGTGGTGGGGATGGGGGATTTCGAGGCGGAGGAGAACACGAGAAACTCGTCGCAGCCGCAACGATACGTGACACCTGTGTACCGTGACAATGCCTTCCCAACCTCGTTGACCCGCCGTTGCCCTGTATGTTTTGCAACTCGATGCAATACCTCCACGTGCCTGCGAGGGAGGCACGCAAGTGCTCTTTCAACTCATTCATGGGTTTGGCCAGTCCAGCCTGTTGGTTCACTCATTTGGCCTTCGAGTCGCAGCCTGGTCGGCCTCGGTCTCTGCATCCTCCTGCGCCGCGGTGCCGCTGGAGGCTGCTGTGGCTTGTCGTTTCACGGGCGCCTTCCCCTTCGTCACCGCCATGGGAGTACGGATTCTAAGACTTGGGTTTGGAATTCACTTGGATCTCGGTGATTACAGGCCTGAAGCACTGTACCGGCTGGAGCGGCGGCACAGGCCAGAGGCCTTTTTAACGACAGTCACAGTAACAATAACAACCATGATTAACAAGACAACTGCTCATACGGATCAGTGTATCAAAACAGCTACACGAATCATGATAATCAGGGTCAGGAGGTGCAGGGGACTCGCCATCGCTTGGACGTCCATTCCCCGTGCATATTTCGGTGTCATGCGTGTATGTTTCGCAGAATGTCCTCAAGTGCTCCTCTATGGTCTTTGCCAAGAAAACAGATGCACACGCCCGAGCGATGCCAAGGGGAGGAAGACGGGGGTGAGGATGCGGGGGCAGTGAGGAGTGGAGTGGAGTGGAGTGGACACTGCTGCGATGCAGGTTCTGGGGTCCAGGAACGCCTGAGCTGGAGAGCATTCGATCTCCGAGTCGATTGCTCAGCTCGGCTCAAGACTTTGGGATCCAAACCCCTGGCAATCCCGTCGAGATGATGTCTGCCCGTGGCAGACTTCCTGTACGTACAAGGGCCTTCCCAGACCCCCGACGTCGTGATTCTTTCACAATGTCGACCCCAAAGCTCTGGACCTCTTCCCCGGGACCGGTTTTGCATCCTGCGTCGTTTTGGTTGACGGTCCCAGGGCCCTGCAAGGGCCCCAGAGGCCGACCATAGCGAGGAACCTCCCGTCGTGAGCTTCCGTTCACAACGCGAGGGGGTCTGGGCTTGAGGGCCCGCAGTTGGAGGCCTGGAAATTGGCACCAACACCAACACAGGGGTCTGCCTCCACAGGGGGAAGATGATCCTAGATTTCGGTGTTGGTGGTAATAGTTCGGCCACTTTGGAAGCCAGAATATTACCACCATCACCGAGATCGGGATCTTCTTCCCTCGGTGGAGGCACGCCGCCGAAATTGGTGTTGGTGTCAACCTCTAGGCCTGCGACGCAGGGCCTTCTCGGCGACGTGGCGCGAGGCTGTGGCAGCGGGGGCCGCGCTCCTGCAGCGCCATGGCGCACGTGGCCGCGGGCCCCGCGGTGGCGCGGTGCAGCGCGCACCTCGCGGGCTCTCTCGGGGGCCAGCTTGGACCGCTGGCCTCTCGGGCCTCCCTCGAGCGGGGGGTCGGCGGATGGGCAGAACCCTGCACCACCCGCGCAACCGGGGCGGCGGCGCAGACTTCCACGCGCCCCCCTGCCCCCGATATTCAATGTTGATTGGCTGCGCCCGCGGGGTGCAGGATTCAGGCCAGTCGGCAGTTCGACACAAATCGCGCCACAGCCTTCCAATCTTGAATCGGGGGCACGGGGGGCGAAAACAGACACCGGGAAAAAAGTGCAAGATTTTGTCCATCAGCCGATCGACGCCGGAATTCATCTGCCCCAAAATGGATTTCCTCGTCGAGTCATACGCAGCGTGCTCAGAGATCTTAGAACGGTCTTGGAGAAACCCAAATGGCACCAGTGCCCGTACTCCCCGGACCTCTCCCAGGGCGCGTTCCGACCAGGATTTCGAGGCGAATCCAGCGGTGGCGACGAGGGCCTCCCAGGAGAAGGGGAAAACGAAGGAAGGGTAGCGGTATGGGTACCCTTTCCTCCATTGAATTCTACGCATTTCTCATAATTCGACGAACAAATCATTCTTGGGGTAACTCAATTCTGTAGTCGACCCCCTACTCGCGCACGGCGCCCCGCCGATGAGGTTCCTCCCCATCCCTTCGACCCCGCCCGTCTGCCTCCCCCTCTTTTTCGGCGGCAACTCATGGGAGCCTCCCATACCATCTCGTCGGCTTTTCCGAATCGACGCCAATCGACGCTAGTCGACGCTAGTCGACGCTAATCGACGCTAAATCGACGTGAATCTATGCAAACCGACGCTAAATGTGCGCTATCCCATCGGCTCCCAAACGCTAATCGACGCTAGTCGACGCTAACCACGGAATTACGAGGGTATACGAGGCTCCCAAGATTTGCTGCCGAACTCCCCTCTCTCCCTCCTTCCCTCCCTTCAATCAATCCGTTTCTTTCCCTAGACGGGCGCGTTCCACTGCTCGGACTCGCCGCGGGGGGCTCACGACCCACCACACCGAGGCAAACCTGCTGTTTTTTTTTTCCGGACGTTTGCGAGTCGGCACTTTGCGGGTCGTGGAACGCGCTCGGTAGTTCCCCTCCCTTCCCGCTTCTCCCGTTCTCTCCTCGGGAGGGGTCCCGTGGGGGGGGTCCGTCCCTGGGACTGTGACCCCCCTGGGAGGCGCTCTCCCCCTCGGCTTCTTGCCTCTCTGCAGACGCCTCGAGCCCCGAGACGCCCCAAGAGGGCTCGAAGAGGAGCCCCGAGAGGACCCCGAGAGGAAGACATCAGCTATGTCCGTGCAGTTTTTTGTTATGCCTTTCGCGTCCTCGCCCTTCTCAGGCTTCCGACGCGCCCACACGGCCCAGGAGGTCCCGATAATCGACCCAAGAAGAAGGTCCGAGAAGCTGCCGAGAGCGCCCGATAAAACGGCCGCGTGGCCCCAAGACCGCCCCAAAGAGGCCCCCGAGACGGCACCACAGGGCTCCAAGAAGGCCCCAAGAGACTCACGAATGGGGTAGCACCAACCGAGATCAGGGCTGGACCTAAACGCTGCTGTTCGTTTTGGTTTCGTTTTGTTCTCCGGTTTGCCCTGCCTGCGTTCCTGCACCTCCCTCCCAGAACAAAAAGCAGAACACAGCCGAAGCCCAGCAAACCAGCCTTTGGGCCCAGACCTGCCCGAGACGGCATGGCAGGGCTCCAAGAAGGCCCCAAGAAGCTCCCGAAGGGGGGGAGCACTGCGCACCACTGGGCTCTTTTGCTGCGGGCGGGGGGGCGGAGGCGGGTGGGGCCCGCTGGCTCGTTCGATCTGGCCAGCTCGATGCTCGCCATGCTGCTTCTCCCCCCCGTCTCCCTTCCTTCCTGTCCCCCCCCCCTCTCCTCCCTTTTCCCCCCCCCCCCCCCCCCCCCCATCCTGCACTCCATCCCCGTCGCCTTCCGTCCCCTCCCTCCCCTTCCACCCTCCCTCCGCCTCTCCTGTCCTACCCCCCCTCTCCTCCCCCCCATCTCCTGGGAAACACAGCACAGACCCAAACGTTCGGAGGCCCTCCTCGACGCCATTCCCCTCCTCCTCGAGGCCCTCCCACGCGGATTCCGACTTCCTGGATCGGCGCCATGCCCTTCCTCGACGCGCGGAGCGCGCCAGGGGGCGGATGCAGGAACTCCGCGCGGAGCTCCGAAAGTTCATGTTCGGTCGGGCAAATCCTCCTGCATGCGGATTCTGGAGGACACAGGCATCAAACTAGTCCAAAGCTGCTCAAGGATAGCCAGAAGGGTACGACAGAAACGTCCCCAGACTATTGTTTGCCTCTTCTTGAGTATTCCTCCTGTAGAGGGACACGCCAGAATTTAAGCTTCATGTTCAGGTCATGATTTGTTCCCCGATCCCCTCCCTTCCACTCTCCCTCTCCCTCCCCATGTCCTGCCCTACCCTCCCTCGCTCTCCTCCACTGGAGCGCTTCGCGCCGTCCGCCGCCCTCTCGGTTCATTGCGTTGGGCTGCCTGGGGCTCTGGGCTGGGCCTCCCTTCGCTGGGGAGGGTGGCGGCGACTGCTGGTGCACCCCCCCTGTGGTTCTCGGGGCGAAAGCCTTCAGCATGACGGCGCGCAGACCGCTGCAGTGCCGAGTCCGTCCGACCGGCTCCTCCCTTTGCCTCCGCATTCCCTCCGTTTGTGCCCCCTCTCCCTTCCCACCCAGAGCTGGTGCGGTGGACCGCCCTCTGGTCTTGCCAGCCCCGGGCGCCGCGGCGGCCTCGGCGGCCCTGGCTGCGGGGGCGCCTCGGGTAAGAGGCCCGCCAGGACCACCCATGGGCCCCGCAGGTCAGCAAGACAACCCTCTTCCTCCTCCTCCTCCTCCTCCTCCTCCTCCTCCTCCTCCTCCTGCCGACCCCCTCCTCTTGCCCTTCCTGTTCACATTCCCCCTCGTCCTCCTCCTCCTCTTCCTCCTCCTCCTCCTCCTCCTCCTCCTTCTCCTCTTCCTCACCCCTACGTCGCTTCCTCTTTTCCTCCTCCTCCTCCTCCTCCTCCGCCTCCTCCTCGGCTCACGGCTCCTCCTCGGCTCACGGCTCTGGCAAGAGAATGGGGGCGGCTCACGGCAAAAGCAGCCCTCGGATACAGGAAATCCCTCGGCGCCCCCGAGCCGCCGTGCGCCTCGCGCCCAGGAGCGTAAAGGAACAGGAAAGATGAAGGGGAAAGTGATGATGAGGAGGAGTAGGATGAGGGGGCAACGAGGAAGTGAAATATGACGATGACGAAGGAGAAGGGGGATGAAGAAGGAAGGAAAAACATGAAGATGAAGATCAGCATGATGATGGTTGTGATGATGATGGTGATGATGATGGTGATGATGATGATGATGCTGATGGATGATGGATGATGGATGATGGATGATGGATGATGATGATGATGATGATGATGATGATGATGATGATGATGATGATGATGATGATGATGATGATGATGATGATGATGATGATGATGATGATGATGACGCTCGTATCATCTGAGGACAGCCGGTTGTTTACTGAACCAGCCGCGCGGCTGCCATCGCCAGGCGGTCCGTCAGAGCGTGAGGTACTTGGTAATCATGTTGTTGACGTGCGTCGAGAGCTCCTTGGAGATGTCCGTGTTTCACTGTGCGGTACGTCTCAAAAGCGACAGGGTCGAGGTCCTCTGGGCGCTGGGCACGAAGGCCCATACACTCGAACCTCCGGGTCGGCGGAGGCGCGCCCAGCGTGAAGTACACCGCGGACCACATCGGGAGGCAGTCGGCGTAGTGAGCCCAGTCGTCCGCCGCAGGGCAGCCAAAGACGCACCTGTGAGCAACTCCCTCGTGCAGTCTGGCACCTGTCGTCCATCCGCCCATCCGCGTTTTCAGGCACGAGGACGAGATGCGAGCGCGAGTGTTCCTCATCGTGGCAATGAAGGTGTCGAAGTCGATGCCGTTGATGTCGCTAGTGTGCTCCGGCCAGTGCCTGTGCAGACGGGCCTTGAGCATGTCCCGAATGCTGGGCTGGAAGATCATTTTCTTAAGCATGAGATCTGGGCACCTTTCTTCGAATCCGGGTTCTTCGTGATCTGGTTGACGGCGGCTGCCATGGCCCTCTGAAGGTCTTTGGAGACAGGCAAAGGCCTTTTGGTGGCGACACATTCTAGGTGCCCATGCAATTGCTGGCGTCTTACAATGTAGTGCCCAAGGAACAGGACGTGCGAGATCAAGCGACAGAGCGATCAGGAGCAGCACGAAGATCGGCATGTCGAAGCTCGGCCAGCGGCGTATGCCAGTCCAGAGTAGCAAGCGCAGCGCGGATCAGCGCGGCGACGCAGGCCAGAGAGACGGAGATGACGTCGGCGACCCCGAACTCGGACGCTCGCGACTTTCCACGAGTAGTGAAAGTTGAGGGCGGCACGTGCCAGAGCATGTTGATTATGCCGTTCTCGGTCTGCACGAGAGTGCGCGGCGGGAGTCCAAATTGGGCAACGTAGAGCACGGTGGGAACAGCCTTGGTGTTGTACTCCTTGATCGTAGATGTGGTGGGGCCTTTAGCTTTGGAGCATGCGTCTGCTCGATGCTGCCATTTTCTCGTCCGTTACGCTGGGGCCCATGAGATACCCGAGGTACAGCGCAGCGTTGATGATGGCGAACTGCACCCACTCAGGGACGATCGCCAGCAGCTGATCCCGGATCGATTCAATCATCTGGATCACGAATGAGGCGTAGAGAGGCATGAGCTTGCATTTTTGGGGTTTCAAGCGTAGGCCAGCACCTTCCTGCATGTTGTTAAACGTATTGGCGTGATCCCTCAGCGTGTTGACATCGAGTATCGCGGCTCCCTCGTCGTTCGCACAAATACGTGTGGTGCCATGCCCTTTGAGGTCGACGGTGCGTCGCATCCTCTCCGCGAATGGGTGCGTCGACACGGCGTAAACGAAACCGCTGAGAGGGCATCCCTGCAAAGACCCACCCTCGAAGAAGTAAGCGAATGTACCGTATATGAAAACCATGTTCAAGTGGTACACGCTCTGGAGGAAGGAGATGACGCCGTGCGGAGCTCCGAGGGCATCAAAAGAAGCCCAGATCCAGCTGTGCTGCAAGCTCGGGAAAGCAGCGGCGATGTCCCAGAAGGCTAGGACTGGCACTCGATGTGCGTTCGCAGGATGGCCGTAGGTCCGAGCCGCGCAGTCGAGGTCGACGTTGTTCTGGGTCAGCTGACGCCGAGCAACGAAGCCCCGCTGGATAGGGGAGACGCCCTTGGTCGCGACGTCTCGCAACATGACATTTACGATACCACAGCAGATTTGGTTCTCGGTGTCTTGGAGGCTCAGAGGCCTGGAGTCCTCTGGCTTCTGGATGATCTCGGCGGCGTCGCCTGCCTGGGAGCCTTTCGGGAGGAAGACGGACTCAGACATGCTGAAGGTGAGCGGCATCGTGAGGCCGGCGAACATGTGGAGCGTACCTTGGAGCAACGTCTCTGCGCCCCAATCGCCCGCGTGCTGCCAAAAGGATCCAGAAGGAGTAGGCGAGGCCGTCAGGGCCAGGGCTCGAGTCGGTCGCGCGCTTGAAGAAACTCTCGATGAGGTAGGTTGAGGGCGCCGGCACGGAGCTCCAGTCAAGCGGCACTGCCCAATGCTGGAGGAACTCAGCGGCGAGGGAGGCGTCGGTCCACTGCTTGCCGAAGTGTGGAGCCCACACGCTGGCCAGCGCCTTGGCCTGGTCCTCCAGGTGGCGAACAAGCAGGTCACCGCCAAGAGGGTTCGGCATCAGGAGGGCATCCAAAACGAGTTTCTGAGACGACGGGAGGTGTAACTTGGCCTTACTCTTGATGACGCGTGCCAGGGAGCGATGCTTCTTGGCGAGTGAGGGGGAAGCCCGAGCCGCGGCATCTTGTTCAAGCGTTCTTGCTAAAGCAGTCCTCACCTACTTTTCGAATGGTCGTAACTTCGTCTCGCTCGACGGGGGCACGGTCACCCTCCACGACCCCAGGGTTTCGCCGACAGATTCGACGAGATCGCTGCCGCCAACGCTGCCGCTGCCGCTGAAGATGATGATGATGATGATGATGACGATGATGATGACGATGACGATGATGCCACCGATGATGATGATGATGATGATGATGATGATGATGATGATGATGATGATGATGATGATGATGATGATGATGATGATGATGATGATGATGATGATGATGATGATGATGATGGTGAAGGTGATGAGGATGATGGTGGTGATGATGATGCGGAGGAGGAGGAGGAGGAGGAGGAGGAGGTGAATGGCAACATGAACACACATAACAATAATGAAAACATGGTTAGCCAGCGTGGATTCCAATCTATTCCAAGCAGTAATTCATCTCACGGTGAAAGTGTGATCTGTGTGGCGTGCGCTGTGCGGTGTGGGTGTAAGCTATGTTGTGTGAGCGTTGTGGTGCAAGCTACGAGGTGTAATATACATGTGGTAGAAGCTATGTGGTGTAAGCTATGTGGTGCAACATGCATGATGCGAACTGTGCGGTGTAAGCTGTGTAGTGTCAGCTATACGGTGTAAACTATGTGATGCACGCTATGTGGTCAGGACTGAAGGGGCTGAACCGAACGGTCATTCACTGTCCCTGGGTGCGTGGCTGAAGTAAGATTCCGGGATGCGGACTCTTGTTGTGGTTGTTGTTGTCGTTGTCGTTGTTGTTGTTGTTGATGGTGTTGTTGTTGTTGTTGTTGTTGTTGTTGTTGTTGTTGTTGTGGTTGTTGTTGTTGTTGTGTTTATTCCCTACCTAGGCTCTGCCTAGAAGGGTTCTTACTTTCTTGGCTAAAGGGGGCGGGCAGTGTGCCTCACCCCGGGCGGTTCCCCCGGTTGCGCCCCCCTGGTTCCCCCGGTTGCGCCCCCTGGGTTCCCCGAGCTTAGCTTAGCTTAGCTTAGCTTAGCTTAGCTTAGCTTAGCTTAGCTTAGCTTAGCTTAGCTTAGCTTAGCTTAGCTTAGCTTAGCTTAGCTTAGCTTAGCTTAGCTTAGCTTAGCTTAGCTTAGCTTAGCTTAGCTTTGCCTAGCCTAGCCTAGCCTAGCTTAGCTTAGCTTAGCTCAGCTCAGCTTAGCTTAGCTTAGCTTTGCCTAGCCCAGCTTAGCTTAGCTTAACTTACCCTTAGCTTCGCTTAGCTTTAGCTTAGCTTAGCTTAGCTTAGCTTAGCTTAGCTTAGCTTAGCTTAGCTTAGCTTAGCTTAGCTTAGCTTAGCTTAGCTTAGCTTAGCTTAGCTTAGCTTAGCTTTGCCTAGCCTAGCCTAGCTTAGCTTAGCTTAGCTCAGCTCAGCTTAGCTTAGCTTAGCTTTGCCTAGCCCAGCTTAGCTTAGCTTAACTTACCCTGAGCTTAGCTTAGCTTAGCTTTAGCTTAGCTTAGCTTAGCTTAGCTTAGCTTAGCTTAGCTTAGCTTAGCTTAGCTTAGCTTAGCTTAGCTTAGCTTAGCTTAGCTTAGCTTAGCTTAGCTTTGCCTAGCCTAGCCTAGCCTAGCCTAGCTTAGCTTAGCTTAGCTCAGCTCAGCTTAGCTTAGCTTAGCTTTGCCTAGCCCAGCTTAGCTTAGCTTAGCTTAGCTTAGCTTCGCTTCGCTTCGCTTAGCTTAGCTTAGCTTCGCTTCGCTTCGCTTCGCTTAGCTTAGCTTAGCTTAGCTTAGCTTAGCTTAGCTTACCCCATCTTAGCTTAGCTTAGCTTAGCTTAGCTGTTGCTTTCCTGAATGCTCCAACTCCTAGGTAGGGTCGCACTGGGATAATTGTTTGTTGTTTGTTGTTTGTTGTTGTCGTCGTCCCACCCGCGACCCTCCCAGTGACCCACCCGCGACCCACCCCGCGACCCACCCGCGACCCACCCACGACCCGACCCGCGACCCACCCGCGACCCACCCCGCGACCCACCCGCGACCCGCCCGCGACCCACCCCGCGACCCACCCGCGACCCACCGGCGACCCACCCCGAGGACCCCCTGGCGACCCCACCCACCCGCGACCCACCGCGACCCACCCGCGACCCACCCGCGACCAACCGCGACCCACCCGCGCGACCCACGCAAAGTTTTCGGCGCCTGCGGCGGGTTTCTTTTGCATTCGTTCCAGGTGGAGAACCTGCGACCCACCCGCGACCCGCCCGCGACCCACCCGCGATCCACCCGCGACCAACCCCGCGACCCACGCAAAGTTTTCGTCGCCTGCGGCGGTTTTTTTTGCATTCGTTCCAGGTGGAGAACCTGCGACCCACCCGCGACCCAAACCGCGTTCAATGTACAAATCAAAATGTTCGGCGCCTGCGGCGGGCTGTTTTTGAATTCCTTCCAGGTGGAGGTGGAGAGTCCGCGACCCACCCGCGACCCGCGACCCAAACTACGTTCACTGAACAAGCCAAAAATTCGGCGCCTGCGGCGAGCTGTTTTTGCATTCGTTCCGGGTGGCCCACCAGCGATCCCCCCCGCGCTGAAAAGCTCAGAGCACGCAAATCGGCGCCTGCGGCGGGCTTGCTCGCATCGTCGTCGTCGTCGTTGTCGTCGTCGTCGTCGTCGACGTCGTCGTTGTCGTCGTCGTCGTCGTCGTCGTCGTCGCCGCCGCCGCCGCCGCCGCCGCCGCCGCGGTCGCCGCCGCCGCCGCCGCGGCCGCCGCCATCGCCGTCGCCGTCGCCGCCGCCGTCGCCGTCGTCGTCGCCGTCGCCGTCGCCGCCCCGCCCCACCCCCCGGCGCGCGCGCGCGCGCTCCGCGGAGGAGGGGAGGAGGAGCAGGGCGAGGAGCAGGAGGAGGAAGACGACAACGACGACGACGAGTACGAGGACGAAGAGGAGGCCGACGACGAGGGCGAGGAGGAAAAGGAGGGGGGATCGGAGGGGGACGACGAGAAAGGATGGCGGAGGAGGAGGAGGAGGAGGAGGACGAGGAGGAGGACGACGACGACGGAAAGGAGGAGGGGGGAGGATCGGGATGGGGGAGGAAGAGGAGGAGGAGGAGGAGGAGGAGGGGGAGGAGGAGGAAAAGGAGGAAAAGGAGGAAGATGAGGAGGAGGAGGAGGAGGAGGAGGAGGGCGAAATCGACAGGGAAGGTGAGGGCCACGAGGTCCGCCGGCTCGACGCCCGCGTCTCCCGCGCCCGCCCCCTCACTCTTATCCGCAATTGCGGGGTGCTACGTATAAACTATGCTGTGCAAGCTATGTGGCGCGAGCTATGTGAGTCGGTACAAACTATGTGGTGCCATGTGGCGCGAGCTATGTGGCGCGAGCTATGTGGTGCCAGCTACGTGGTGCAAACTATGTGGTGTTAGCTATGTGGTGCAAGCTACGTGGTGCAAGCTATATGGTGCAAACGATGTGGAGTACCCTATGTGGTTCGGCGGCGGACGGGAACGGGGCCTCCGGGGGGCGCAGCCTGGCTCTTCTTTGGGGGCCACGGGGCGGCGACGGTCGGGGGGCCGCCGGGCCCGCACACGGCCCAGTTCCTCAGAAGGGAAGCAAGAAAGCCCTAAGAGCAAATACTGTTTGGGGAACCATTCATTAAACAAATACACGCACACACACACACACACATACACACACACACACACACACACACATATACAGATCCTGGCGTATGCAAGTGTTAGAACCGCAAGGGTGCGCCAAAATGGGGCGGGGCCGCCATGCGAACCCTGCCACTGGGGCCCTCGGTGGAGCTCCCTGTGGGGCCACGAACCGTGTGAGGGGTGCGCCAAAATGGCGCGGGGCCGCCATGCGAACCCTGCCACTGGGGCCTTCGGTGGAGCTCCCATGGGGCCACGAACCGTGTGCGGGGTGCGCCAAAATGGGGCGGGGCCACCATGCGAACCTTGCCACTGGGGCATTCGGTGGAGCTCCCTATGGGGCCACGGAACGTGTGAGGGATGCGCCACAATGGGGCTGGGCCGCCATTCGAACCCTGCCACTGGGGCCTTCGGTGGAACTCCCTGTGGGGCCACGAACCGTGTGAGGGGTGCGCCGAAATGAGGCGGGGCCACCATGCGAACCCTGCCACTGGGGCCTTCGGTGGAGCTCCCTATGCGGCCACGAACCGTGTGAGGGGTGCGCCAAAATGGCGCGGGGCCGCCATGCGAACCCTGCCACCTTCGGTGGAGCTCCCTGTGGGGCCACGAACCGTGTGAGGGGTGCGCCAGAATGGGGCGGGGCCGCCATGCGAACCCTGCCACCGGGGGCTTCGGGGGAGCTCCCTGTGGGGCCACGAACCGTGTCAGGGATGGGCCAAAATGGCGCGGGGTCGCCATGCGAACCCTGCCACTGAGGCTTTCGGTGGAACTCCCTGTGGGGCCACGAACCGTGTGAGGGGTGCGCCAGAATGGGGCGGTGGTGCCATGCGAACCCTGCCACTGGGGCCTTCGGTGAAGCTCCCTATGGGTCCACGAACCTGTGAGGGGTGCGCCAAAATGGGGCAGGGCGGCCCTGCCACGGGGGCCTTCGGTGGAGCTCCCTATGGGGCCACAAACCGTGTGAGGGGTGCGCCAAAATGGCGCGGGGCCGCCATGCGAACCCTGCCACGGGGGCCTTCGGCGGAGCTCCCTATGAAGCCACGAACCGTGTGAGGGGTGCACCAGAATGGGGCGGTGGAGCCATGCGAACCCTGCCACTGTAGGGCCTTCGGTGGAGCTCCCTGTGGGGCCACGAAATGCTGTAATGGGTGGGGGGGAGGGGAGGCAGCGGGATTAGAAGGAAGGAAGGAAGGAAGGAAGGAAGGAAGGAAGGAAGGAAGGAGGACGCGGGCGCTGTCTCTTCAAAACGAAGACCCAACACCACAGGATGGTTGGGAACAAAAGCCGCTGACAACGACGCTCCGAAAATTTGCGATAGTGACGACTTTCCAGACTCTGAACTCCCGTGGCATTGAGCGCGGTACGAACCATCCCACTGGGGCCTTCGGTGGAGCTCCCTGTGGGGCCACGAACCGTGTGAGGGGTGTGCCGAAATCGAAGCGGCGGTGCCATGCGAACCCTGCCACGGAGGACTTCGGTGGAACTCCCTATGGGGCCACGAACTGTGCGGGGGGGGGCGCCAGAATGGGGCGGTGGTGCCATGCGAACCCTGCCACTGGGGCCTTCGGTGGAGCTCCCTGTGGGGCCACGAACCGTGTGAGGGGTGCGCCAGAATGGGGCGGTGGTGCCATGCGAACCCAGCCACTAGACCCTTCAATGGAACTCCCTGTGGGGCCACGAATCACGAACCGCGTGAGGGGTGCGCCAAAATGGGCGCGGTGGAGCCATTCGATCCCTGCCACTGGGGCCTTCGGTGGAGCTCCCTGTGGGGCCGCGGAACGCGTGAAGGGTGTGCCGAAACAGAGACATGCGGAGGGCAGAGGCAAGGAGGGGGAGGATGGAGGAGGAGGAGGAGGAGGAGGAGGAGGAGGAGGAAAAGGAGGAAGAGGAGGAGGAGAGGAGGAAGGATGAAGGAGGAGACGCGCCGCACCGTCTCTTCAAAACGAGGACCCAACACCACAGGATGGTTGGGATAGATTCACGGTTTGCTACGCTGCGCCGTCGAACCCTTGGTTCGTTAGGTGGCCCTGGCGTGGGGGCGAATATTCGCGCGTGGCGAGAGGGGGCGCGCAGAAACTGCTCGAGCAAGGGGCCGTTGGAGGCCATCAATTGGGCCCTCATCGGTTGTCGTTGGCGCCTCTTATAACCTGTCTTGAGACCATCGTGGGCCGTCCTGGGGCCGCCTTGGGGGCCTCTTGTGCCTCCCTGGGGCGGTCTCGGGGGCCTCTGGGCCGTCGAGGAGCGCTGGCAGGCTGAGAAAGCGGAAAGCGCCAAGCGCCTTCAGAAACCCAGCCAAGGAGTTGTGAGGTTTGCCTCTGGGGGCCCTTTTCGGGACGCTTCCCGGAGTTCTCTTGAGGTCTCTGGGGTGCGTCTTTGCCCCTCTGTGGGCCATCTTGGGCACACCTCGAACAATCTTGGGGTCATCTGGGCCGTCGTGGGGGGCTTCCTGGAGCCCATTGGCGGTTGTCTTGGGGCTATCTGGGGCCCTAACCATGGACCGGAAGTCCGACCATATCAGTTGTCTGTGTATAGGTACTCATGGTAGTAGCACAGCTCGACAAAGAGAGAGAGAGAGAGAGGAGATAGAGAGAGAGAGAGCGAGAAAGAGACATTCCGCTATATATATATATATATATATTTATTCAAAGGGCCGGGGAGCCCACACCCCATTGCCCCCTCCCCCAAACGAATGTCGCCTCCTCGGGCCTGTCTTGCGCCTTGCTGTGGCCATCCTGGGGTCGTCGTGACGCCCCCCGAGTCAAGCGATAGTGTACAAACGAGAAGGCCGAAAACGTTGTTTTTGTTGCTACGTTTTGTCTGTTTTTCCCACTCTGCGCGCCCTGTTGCGCCAGCCTTGGGCCCTTTTGGGGCTCGTCTATGGCCTCATCTGGAGCCGTCTTGGAAGCATCTGGACGCCTGAAGAGCCAATCGGAAGCGACAACGCGAGAAGACCAAAAATCTTGTTTTTCCCATGATTTCCCTACATTTGTCCATCTCTGGGCCCCCCTCTCCGGGCCTTCTAGGACCCGGGAGCGCCCCCTTCCCCCGCCCTCGCCCAAAAAATTGTCGAATCCTCGGGCCTGTCTTGCGCCTCCCTGTGGCTGTCCTGGGGTCGTCTGGACGCCCCCCGAGTCAACCGGAAGTGAAAAAACGGGAAGGCCGAAAACATTGCTTTTCTACTGCGTTTTCTTTGTTTGTTCCACTCTCCGGGCCCTATTGCGCCAGTCTTGGACCTCCTTGGGGCTCGTCAGGGGACTCGGTTGGAGACGTCTTGGAGCTGTCTCGACGCCTCAAGAGCCAATCGGAAGCGACAAAGCGAGAAGACCAAAAACCTCGCTTTTCCAATGATTGCCTACAATTGTCCATTGTGGGGTCCCACTCTCCGGGCCGACTCGCGCCATCTCTGGGCCCTGTTGCGCAAGCCTTGAGTCTCTTTGGGGCTCGCCTGGGGACTCATTTGGAGACGTCTTGGAGCTGTCTGGGCGCTTCTAGACCTAATCGGAAGCGACAAGGCGAGACGTTGTCCGTCCTTGGGCTCCAGTCTCCCGGCCTAGATGCGCCAGCCTTGGGTCTCTTTGGAACTCGTCTGGGGACTCATCTGGAGCCGTCTTGGAAGCATCTAGACGCCTCAAAAGACAATCGGAAGCGACAACAGGAAACGAACAAAACAAAACAACAGGAGCGCCATCTGCAAGAAGCTGGCAGCCCAGCAGCGCGCATGCCGAAAATAGCAAGTGGAAGAAAAGCAGGAATAAGTAGAGGAAAAGGAAAGGGAGAGGAGAAGGAAGCGGAATGAGGAAAAGGAGGGAAGAGCAGAAAGAGGATGAAGATGAAGAGGAGAAAGAGGGGGGAGGAAAATGCGGAGGCAGAGCAAGAGGAGGAGGATGCCCTGCTTCATGCTACCCCAACCAGTCGCCTGAGACTTTCTCGGGCCTCTGGCACAGAAACGCCCTGAGCTGGCCAGAGCTGGCGTTGTCAAGTCGCTCCCGCTTAGGAGATCCTGACCCACTCCGACTTGGCGGTGGCCGGCCCCACGTCCACGCGCGCGCACGCCGCCTGCATTCGAACTCACAAGGAACACGGTGCATGGCGCGAAGCGCCACTGCAGTCTTATATATATATATATATATATATATATATATATATATAACATCTAAAAGGAAAGAAAGAAATAAGTGAAAAATGATAAGCACAGAAGTGACGAGGACGACGACGAAGACGACGACCACCACGACCACGACCATGATCACATGGACGGGGAAAACAGCGCCACCATGCTCGAGCCGTGCTGGTCACGGAAACCGCCCAGTCTCCTCCAGTCCTCCTCATTTTCTCACGTTGCTTGTTTCCATGCGTAGGCTCCTGTGCATATGTTGTTGGATGGGGTGGGGTATGCGGACCGTGCGGCATCGCAGAGAAGGGGCCGGGCGGGCGTTGACGGCACGTCCGCTCTCTGGGAGGCGTCGTTTGTAGGTGAGCTCGTGGGGGCGGGTGGAGCGTATACATGGGGGCGTATTCCTTGGAGGCTCTAAGGGGCTTCAAAAGCGTCTCTAGAGGGGCTTCTAGAAGGGCCTGTAAATGGGGGCGCACGCGACTCTAGACAGGGAGAACGCTTGCCTCTAAGGGCGTGAGCCTCGAATGTGCCTCTAGAGGTGTTCCCATTCAGAATCTCCAAAAGGATCATCATACCACCATCGCAATAGTAAGGCAAATGAACAGCAACAACGAATCAGGGATTGAGGAAAGGAGGATAAGGAGGAGGAAGAGGACGGGGAGGAGGAGGAGAAGGATGAGGAGGGAGGAGGAGGCGGAGGAGGAGGAGGAGGAGGAGGATAATGAGAAGGAGGGAGGAGGAGGAGGAAGGAGGAGGAGGAGGAGGAGGATGAGGCGGAGAGGAGGAGGAGGAGAAAGAGGAGGAGGAGGACGAGGAGGAGGAGGAGGAGGAGGAGGAGGAGGAGGAGGAGGAGAGGGGGAGGGGAGGGGGGAGGGGGAGGAGGAGGAGGGGAGGAGGAGGAGGAGGAGGAGGAGAGGAGGAGGAGGAGGAGGAGGAGGAGGAGGAGAACGCGCGCGAGGCCTGGTCCACCACGAGGTCGCACAGCGCCCAGCCTGTGCGTGCCGCGGCGTCCCTGAAGCGCTGCAGAGCCTACCGCGCTGCCCGCCCCTGTCAGACCCATCTTGCGAGGCATGCGCGGGGGCCCAGCGGCGAGGAGGACGGGGGAGCAAGACGACGAGGAGGGAGCGAGGGGGGGGAGAAAAAAGAGGAAGGGGGGTGAGAGGGGGAGTGAGCTGGCTAGTTGTGGTTTGTGCTTCTGCCCTCTCGAGGGCCCACTGCGGCCTCCAACCACCGCGTGCCACAACCCTGGGCCTCTCTGACGCCGTCCTGGGCCTTCTGGAGGCCGGCTCATGACCTCTTGACGCAGTGCGGTGCTGTGGTGACTTCTGCTGTCCAGCAATGGCCCGGATGGGATCGGAAACGCCCGCAGCAAAGAGGCCCGACCATTACAGAGGGATGACGCGGATGCCCCACGGGCCCGAAGAGATGCGCGCCCGCACCCAGAGGCCCCGAAGAGGCCAAGAGGTGGTCCGAATCCGATTTCGTGGCTCTTTCCTGGAACGCCAAACTGTGTCCGTGGCGATTGCGAATGCAAGCGGACCGAGCACACATATATGATACACACACACACACGCACCGATAAGACACCCCAGAACACTGGAGATGCCCAGCGGTACCCGAACCAAACGCAATCCACGCCAACTCTTGAAGACATCCGGCAAACTATCGAACAAGCCCAATACATCTGACAAGTAAACAACATGGCCACACAGGTAAACCTAACTCTGGAATGAAAGGCACTGGCTAATTTCTTCAAGGTGCAAACGCAAGAGAATACTGGAGTGAACGTGAACACCATAAACCCTGCGCATATGCGGCTTGGCGGATAAACTCTTCCAAGACGACAGTGCGTTCTCCATTAGGGGAGGGGCGCACTCCTTTCCCTTATTACTGATGATATGATGTTTACTACTCCTAGGGGCAATGCCCCCTGCTCCTCAAGCGTTGGAGCGTCCGAGATAGCCAAAGTTCCCAAGGCGGCCGCAGGCAGCCCAAGATGGCTTCCAAGCCTGGGTACGGCGGCCAGGATTGGCCCGAGACGGCGCTCCCCCCCCCCCCGTAGACGTCCCCGAGGCTATCCGAGACTGCCCGAGGTGGCCCAAGGGGCCTCCAGAAGATGCCACGAGTTTGTCCCATGACTTCTGCCCTCGTGCCCTTTTCCCTTCCGATGGGGCCTCTCTCATGCCTCAGGGTGGCCCCGACCTGGCCAAGGATGGCCCCCCCTTAAAGACCCCACAGGCTTCCAAGCGCACCCCGAGAGACAGGCACGAGGGCCCCAAGAAGGTTCTGTTCGGGCCCCAGAGAAGGCGTGACCATGGTTCAGGACGCCCACCTTCGCTAACCGATGGCCTCCAGCTGCCTCCGACATGATCCCTACATGTCTCCAAGAGACCCCCCTCACAATAGAAGTCAAACGGCCCCGAGAGGAGGAGGGAAGGGGGAGGAGGAAGAGGGGAGGAGGAGGACGAGGAGGAGGAGGGGGAGGGGGAGGAGGGGGAGGATGACCAGGAGGGGCTCCCAGACAGTCCCATATAGACACTTTGTTGTGGAGGGGGGGAGGCTGCTCGGGCTGATCCCGAGGTCCAATTTGACGTTCGACGGGGTGAACCCTCTTTCCTGTCACTGATGCTCTGCCGCTTCCCGTGTTGTGACAGCTCGTCTTGACACCATTTCTGGATGGGCTCGTGGGCATACGCGAAGTGCCAGTACTCTATCTGCCCATCACAAAATAATGTCCTCTGGCGGGGGACCTGACACGGCCTGAGGGCTGGTTCACTTTCGCCAGCAATATTTTACAACAGAAGACGCTGGTGCGTCGACGAGCACAGTCAGTCGCCGCACATGGCAATCATTCTGTGTTTTCCCAATCATGCTTTTGTATCGTTGTCATGTTCTGCCCATCCTTACACAATATCGTTGGCCAACCCTGCAAAATCTTTGCAACTGGGACGCGCAAAGTCTCGTGTCCTTCCGACGTGGCAACCCATATTCCCCCACGACGTGGGACTGAAGGCCGCCAGGCCGACCAGGAACGTCACACGAGATGTCACCGAGAGCGCAAAGGCCACAGACGACTGAGGATAGGCAGGGAAAGCAGCGGAAGGAAGGCATCGGCAAGGAGAAAGGCCAAAAGCGGGGTAAGAAAACGAGAGCGAGGCAACAGAACGAGCGGGGGATCCGCGGCGCCACGGACGGAGCGAGGGACCAACACCCGGGCCGAGGGCCCTGGCAGACTTCAGGGTGAGACAACCTCGCGCGCTGTGGGAGGCCAGCCGCCGGCCTGCGGCTCCTTCGTCAAGAACGCCTGGAAAGTACACGGCCGTGCGTCCGGGGCCAGGCACTGGCGCAGGCCGTGCAACAGCGAGTCCAGGCGACTCTCCGCGCTGCGCTGCTCGGTGTCCTGGCGGGGAGGCCGGTGCGTGCGCAAAGAAGCGGCGGTATCGAGGCCACGGCGTTGACAACTGCCGGGCGAAGGCGAGGCCAAGGAGGACGAACAAGAATGGTGAGAGAAATCAGACCATGCATGGCAAACCGCACTATGGAGGACGAGTGGGCATGGCGGTACGAATCTGTTAGTGGCGCATTAGCAACAAGTTGTAACTGAAGACGCCGGCATTGTTTGCCAATCTTGCGTGCTTGGCCTATCGCGCCCATAGCATGTAAACTGCACGGTGTCGCGAACTTGTGCGACATTGTGATGCCCAGGTCGGGACAAGGCAAATAAGTACAACACACCAGAAGCATCGCATGCATAGAAAATACTACTTCCTGTATGCGCCATGTGTTTGTGCGTGTACCACGTGGTTAACTGAATCTTCTGAGGCGGGTCAACAGTCCAAATGTTCTGCGGATTCGCTGCCTCTGGTGCATGACGCTCGCTTGACCCTTACCTGTGCTGCCACGGCTTGGCCTGCCCCTGACCCCAGATTCCACAGCTTCGGTTTGTGCACAGTCGCCACACGTGCGACTGCAACTCACGACTACGTGGCCCGTTCGCGGCTGACCGACTGGTGCTACAACATCGCGAACATCGCGGAGGAAAGATAAATGTGCGCGTTGCGGCTTTATCCGCCGTGTACGATCCCAAGATGCCCCACGGCAGCTGCTAGATTGCTCGTCGCCACTCCCTGACGCAATCAAACGTGCACATCCACTTTGGGAGAACATCCTCTCCACCAGACTGCGCAAGGGACTGCTCTCCAAGCCGCTTCCAGGCGTAGCCATTCAAAACGCTTCGCTTGCGCGCACGAGTCTCACGCCCGATTTTCTTCCAGGCGGCTCCATGCCGCCTTCACCAAGCATTGCAGCCAAGACGTGAAATTCGTGTCCGATTGGGACAGCTGGGGAGACACGAGGACCACAGGTCAAACACGAAACAACGAGGGACTGCATACCCAAAGCCACCGAATTGAGCCTCCAAGGGCCCTCACAACGACACGCAAGCGCGAACAGTAAGCGCACCGCCGTGTCATGGAAATGCAGTAAACGCACGTCATAAGAGGCCGTGGGGTACCAAAAACAATTGAGCAACGCTCAGGCGTCACATGTGGTTTGAACCCCGCTCTCCCCAGAATGCAGTGTTGGTTTCGAATCTTCCGAGTTTGGTGGGCAACTTTTTTATTCGGCGTTTCGACATTGGGCGGAAATGGAAGGGGGGGTCTTGCTCCAGACCTCTGCTTAGTGCGACTGTTTGCAAGAGTGCTGCCTCTGGGGGAGACCCCACCTGCTCGAAGCAGGCGCTAAACAACAGCCAATATCTACTCCGTAGGGGGGGGAGGGGGGGGCGCGGGTGCGAAGGCCCGCGCCGATCGGCAGAACAATGAAAAAACGACCACTTGAGCGTCCGAGAGGTGATGCGTAACCGTGCCAACTTTGAACTGCGGGGGAGGGGGGAAAGTGTTGCGCTGAGGGGGGGCGGACGACCACACGGGGGCAGCAACGCGCGCTGTGCGCC